AAATAAAGCCCCCCTCATTCACGATCTTATTCAAGAGAAGGGAGCGGACCCGGCGGGTATCACGGAGACCTGGTTGGGCCCCGAAGGGGGGGTGCCCCTTGTTGAAATGTGCCCACCAGGTTTCCGGGCATTCCATCAGCCGAGAGCCCAGGGTAGGGGCGGGGGAGTGGGTGGCGGTTATTATTAAAGAAAGTCTATGTCCGAGGGAGACCACTGTACCTCAGATAGCCGGGTGTGAGTCCCTCCTCGTGAAGTGGGGCCGTGGGGTGCAGATGGGTCTGCTGATTACGTACTTGGCTCCCTGCTGCGTGGCAGCGGCCCTGCCTGAACTGCCTGATGTGATAGCCGGGGTGGCGGTTGATGCCCCCAGGCTTATGGTTATGGGGGATTTCAACCTGCCATGTGTTGGCGAAACGTCTATGGCGGCTCGGGAGTTCATGGCTTCCATGACGGCCTTGGACCTGACCCAACTAGTTGAAGGCCCTACTCACATGGGGGGGGGACACACTCTGGATCTGATTTTTGTCTCTGATCAGTGGCAGAGTGATCTGGAAATAGGGAATTTAGTCATCGAGCCCTTGTCATGGTCTGATCACTCTCTCCCTCGCATGGACTTTCGAACCGCTACACCTCGCCACAGGGAGACAGAACCGACCAGGCGCCTGATGGACCCGGATAGGTTCCTGACGGAGTTTGGGCCATTCCCTGAAGCTCTGGCTCACGGCATGACTGAACAACTGGTGGCCGCCTGGGATAGGGTGGCCGCCGAAGCTCTGGATCATGTCGTGCCTTTGCGGCCTCTGACCCAGTGCCGTTCTCAACTGGCTCCCTGGTTCTCCGAGGAGCTGAGAGATGAAGCGCCAGAAAAGACACCTGGAGACTGATTGGAGGGCCAGTCGCTCCGAATCTGACCGAACACTGGTGAGGTCTCATATTAAGATCTACCTAGTGGCGATAAAAGCGGTAAAATTTAATTATTTTTCTGCTCTTATCAGGTCTGCAGAGAATCGCCCAGCCACCCTGTTTAGGGTGACCCGCTCCCTCCTTCATCTGGGAGTGAGGGAAGACCCCTTGCAGGGCAGGGCTGAGGATTTTGTGCAATTCTTGCATGGCAAAGTCTCTCAGATTCGGAAAGGTCTGGACTCTGATTGGGTAGATCCGGATGGGGTGACGGAGGGGGGTCTTGAGAATGTTATCTGGGAGGGGTTTGACCTTGTGACTCCCGAGGATGTGGACAGGATTCTGGGAAGGCTTAGCGCTGCTACATGTTTATTGGATCCATGTCCCTCCTGATTGGTGCTGGCCTCCCGGGAGGTTACACGAGGCTGGCTCCAGGGGATTATTAATGCTTCTTTGAGTGAGGGCTACTTCCCCCCCTCTTTGAAAGAGGCAGTGGTGAGGCCTCTCCTCAAGAAGCCTTTCCCTGGACCCGGCTGAATTAGCTAATTATCGCCCAGTCTTCAACCTTCACTTTGTGGCGAAGGTTGTTGAGAGTGTGGTGGCGCGACAGCTTCCTGGATGAAGCTGATTATCTAGATCCGTTCCAGTCGGGCTTCAGGCCTGGGCACAGCACGGAAACGGCATTGGTCGCATTGGTTGATGATCTCTGGAGGGCTCGGGATAGGGGTTGCTCCTCTGTCCTGGTCCTATTAGATCTCTCAGCAGCTTTTAATACCATCGACCATAGTATCATGCTGCGATGATTGGAGAGGTTAGGAGTGGGGGGCACCGTGTTGCGGTGGTTCTCCTCCTTCCTCTCCAACCGTATGCAGTTTGTGTTGGCAGGGGGGCAGAGATCAACCTCGAGGCGCCTTGTATGTGGGGTGCCGCAAGGATCAGTCCTCTCGCCCCTTTTGTTCAACATTTATGTGAAGCCGCTGGGCGAGATCCGTGGTTTCGGGGTGAGGTTCCATCAGTACGCTGATGATACTCAGCTGTACATCTCCGCCCTGAACCACCCCAATGATGCCCTTGACGTGATGTCCCAGTGCCTGGAGGCCGTGCGGATCTGGATGGGGAGAAACAAGCTCAAGCTCAAGCCTTCCAAGACCGAGTGGCTGTGGCTTCCGGCGTCCCGGTATAGTCAGCTGGCTCCATAGCTGACTATTGGGGGCGAGATCCTGGCCCCCACAGAGAGGGCTCGCAACTTGGGTGTTCTCCTGGATGCACGGCTATCTTTGGAAGATCATATGACGGCCGTGGCCAGGGGAGCTTTCTATCAGATTCGCCTGATGCACCAGTTGTGTCCCTTTCTGGACCGGGATGCCCTGCACACGGTCACTCATGCCCTCGTCACGTCCCGTCTGGACTACTGCAACACTCTCTACATGGGGCTCCCCTTGAAGAGCACTCGGAGGCTCCAACTGGTCCAGAATGTGGCCGCGCGGGTGGTTATGGGTGCGAATCGGTGTGCCCACATAACACCCCTCCTGCACAAACTGCACTGGCTCCCGGTGGTCTTCCGGGTGCGATTCAAGGTGTTGGTCACCACCTTTAAAGCGCTCTATGGCTTAGGACCGGGGTATATGCGAGACCACCTTCTGCCATCAACAACCTCCCACCAGCCAATACGCTCCCACAGAGAGGGGCTCCTCAGGGTGCTGTCGGCCAAATAATGCCGACTGGCGACACCCAGGGGGAGAGCCTTTTCTGTGGGGGCACCAGCCCTTTGGAATGAGCTGCCCCTAGAGCTCCATCTTAGCCCCGACCTGCATACTTTTCGCTGCGCACTTAAGACCCTCCTATTCCAACAAGCCGGACTGGCCTAATACGATTTTTTATTATGGGTGTATGTATGTTTTAACTTGCAGGCCAATTTTATATATTGATTTTAATTGGTTTTAAGTTTTATAAATCTATGTATTTTAATATAGCTGTACACTGCCCTGAGTCCTTCAGGAGAAGGGCGGTATAGAAATCGAATAAACTAAGCTAAACTAAACTAAACCTAAAGCCCTAAAAGGAATCTTCCACCTGGATTTATAATTGAATTTGGAAAAAATAAGAATAAGACAAGGAAAAAGGAGACAGAAAAACATTTTTTAAACAATAAAGGATTTAATTTGGAAAAGAGAAAGTAAGCGTTCCTGTGGACTATGAAATGGAGATTTTGTTGCCAGAAGACTAGTGAATCGGAGAAAGACATCTGCTGGTGAAAAGAGCGTGAGAGAGAGGCGTGAGAGTGCATATTCGTGCAGCTGAAGCAAGGTTAAAGAGACAAAGACTAAAACTGTGCTGGCTCAAGTAAATATTTGAAGTGGACATTATTTTTTTAAAGAGACATTATATGGACTTTGAAACCTGAAGCATATGTAAATGAAAAGAATAAGTTTAAAAATCCTAGCCTTTTAAAATTAAAAATATGGAGAATTGGGAGGATGATTATGAGACACTAAGGGAAATGTCTGAAAAAGTAAGAGAAGCATTTAAGGGAAATAAAGAAGCAGAGGATTGGTTAGATTGCAAAAAAAAAAAAAAAGAAAGGGAAAAGATGAATGAGAAGCAAGAGAAACAAGGGGATAATATTGAAAAGGAAATAATTGGAAAAAAGATAAAGATGATTACACTGGGTTCAACAGTGATAGAATAAAAATCGATAAGAGAAAATACATCTCAAATATGAAGAAAAGAGAAATAAATGGGGAAAGATTGAGAATGAAAAGCAATAGAGTTAAAATTAAAGGAAAAAGGCTGAAGGGGAGATATAAGAAAAAGAAAAAGGGAAAAAATGGGAGAAAGGGAGGAAAACATCAAGAAAGGGAACTGTGGAGAGACTAAGAGAAAATGGTTAAGAGCCAGTGAAAATGTTAATTTGTTAATAAAGAGAAGGATGATAGCTGTAGAAATTGTATGTGAAAATGTTAAATGAAAAATAGATCAGTAGATGCAATGTGAAAGAAAGAACGATATTGGAGGAAGCACTAAAAGGACAGAATAAATGATAACATAAGAATTAATTGAAATTAAGATGGAAAATGGAAATTAAATGTAAAATTGAATGAAATTGAAATGTAAATAATGACTTAAATGACATACTTGTAAGAAGTAAAGTAGAAAAATATATTGTTAAAAGTAAAAAGACTAAGGGTTGGAAGATTGTTTGAGTAAAGATTTAAAAGAAAAAATGGAATAAGATGAAATATACTGCTAATAATTAAAAAGATGAGGGGAAATTTTGAGAAATATACTTGATAAATGAAAGAAAGATTGGGGTTGCCTGGACTCCATAGTGGAAAATATAAAATTGAAAATGAATACAGCAATAGAGAAGGATGAAGGAAGGAGAAGAGAATGGAAGAGAGAAGGAAGGAGAGAGAGGGAAGGAAGAGAAGGGAGGAAGGAAGGGAAGGGGAATTAGAATAGGAGTGAGGGTAAGAGAGGGAGGAAGAGAAGAGGAGAAGGAGAAAGGAAGGGGAAGTAGAGAGGAGAAGAGGAGGGGAAGAGAAAGTAAGAAGGAAAGAAAAGAGAGAGGTGGTACGCTAGAGGAGAAAGATTGCTGTACAATAAAAAAGATGAAATGGAAGAAAGGCAACCCTGAACAAATATAAAGATATTAAGACTCGCAAATCCTGAAGCCACAAGAGCGGGGAGGCAAGGAATCTTGTGGGTCCATCCCATAGGGAGATGCACCTGGTAAGACCCAGAAACAAGGCCTTCTCTGTGGTGGTTCCCCTTCTTTGGAACATCATTCCCCCAGAGATTAGAATGGCCCCCACTCTAACACTCTTTGGAAGGCGCTGAAGACCTGGTTCTGCCAGTGGCCCTGGGAAACCCAGAGCGGGATGGAGCCTATTAAATGGCTCGTGTGATGTGTTGTCATGGGGGGAGGGGGAGTATTATATTTTTTATTGATTTATTATTCTCTTTTATTAGTTTTATTTTTTTATATGAGGTTTTTATATTCCTGTAAACCATCTTGAGTCGCTATGTGCGAATAGGTGGCAATATAAATTTCCTAAAATAAATAAATAAATAAACATTTAAATACTAAATATACCTACCTGTAGGCACATTTTCCATCAGATGTTTTAGAAGTTATAGTAATATGAGCAATATGACTTATACTAGCCAATGCCTAGAGAAAAGAAGTTAAGTTTAGTTTTAAAAGAACATTACTCCATATAAACATGACACTTCATTGCTTTCAAAAAACATTCTCTATTCTTTATCTGTAATAGATGCATTTAGATTTCAGGCATGCAGAACCTCACAAAATTTTGTGATCTCATGGGCCATTTCCTGTTTTTTAATTTTGAAGTTCTATGGCCATGATGGCAAACCTATGGCACACATGCCATATCAGTAGGCATGCGAGCTCAGCTCTAGCTATTTCCTGCCTCCGGAGGGCCTCGGGGGAGGGGGGAGGACCATTTTTCTCTCCCCCCAGGCTCCAGAGCCTTTCTAAGAGCTTGGGGAGGATGAAAACGGCTCCCCTCCCCCACCGGAGGCCCTTCGGAGGCTGGAAACGGCCCATTTGCTGACTTCCGGGAGGGGGGAGGAAGGCCATTTTCACCCTCCCCAGGCTTTGAATTACCTAAATATGCAGAAAAGCCAAGTCACAATACAGTTAGATTTCCCTTGGTTGTGGATATTATGCGAAGAGTAGGTATGCAAAACTAACTACATTCAGCAAATGTTATAAAGATAGAGGGAATGATTTCTGAAATATTGAGATCCTAAATTGTTGCAGCTGGCAGCTAGTGATATTAACCCTGAGCTCCTGGAGGAGAGTCAGGAATTAAATTTATTTACAGTAGTCCTCAACTTATGACCACAATTGGAACCAGAAACTCAATCACTGAGTACAGCCAAAATTCAGCAAGAAGCCCACAAGATATTTAACTCAAGAATTATAATCCCTGCACTGCCAGTTGTAGTTATTAAGCAATATCATTGGTTGCTAAACAGACAGAGTCCCAGATAAGGAATCTAGGCTGGGAGAAACCATGGAAGTCTCCATTCAGGAGCTGAAAATCTTCTCTGTTGAAATCCAAGCAAGGTTTTCAGACCTTGAGCAAAGACACACTTTTATGATCTGCACAGATCCTTCTACAGCAGGGATGTCTTTGGTCCTGCGGAGAGGGTGCGCAATCTGGGAGTCTCCTGGATACGCAGTTGTCCTTGGAGGAACATCTGACAGCTGTAGCCAGGGGGACCTTCTGTCAGGTTCGCCTGATTCGCCAGTTGCGGCCCTTTCTTGATCGGGATTCCCTGTGCACAGTCACTCATGCCCTCGTCACCTCTCGCCTGGACTACTGCAACGCTCTCTACATGGGGCTCCCCTTGAAGAGCACTCGGAGGCTCCAACTGGTCCAGAATGCGGCCGTGAGGGTAGTCACGGGAGCTGCATGGCGCTCCCATACAACACCTCTCCTGCGTGAGCTGCACTGGCTCCCAGTGGTCTTCCAGGTGCGCTTCAAGGTGTTGGTTATCACCTTTAAAGCGCTCCATGGCATAGGACCTAGTTATCTTCGAGACCACCTGCTGCTACTGACAGCCTCCCATTGACCTGTGCGCTCCCACAGAGAGGGCCTCCTCAGGGTGCCATCAGCCAAACAGTGCAGGCTGGTGACCCCCAGGGGGAGGGCCTTCTCTGTGGGGGCACCTACCCCCTGGAATCAACTGCCCCCAGAGATAAGGAGAATCCAAGACCTCGGTGCCTTCCGCAGTGCCCTTAAAACCTTCTTTTTCCAGCAAGCCGGGCTGGCCTAACACTTTTTAAAATGTTTTGAATTGTTTTTATTGTTTTTAATCATGGGGCCAAATTTATATATATCTTTTTAATTGTATTTTAATGTTTGTAGTTTATGCTTTTACTTGGCTGTTCACCGCCCTGAGTCCTCAGGGAGAAGGGCGGTATACAAATTTATAAATAAATAAATAAATAAATAAATAAATAAATAAATAAATAAATAAATAAATAAATAAATAAATAAAAATGTCAAACTCAATTTCATGGAGGGCCACATCAGGGCTATGGTTGACCTTGGGGGAGGGAGGGACTGGGTGGGCGTGGCCATCTTAATGTCGCTCACTGGGCGTGGCTGACTCAGGACGGAACAAGTCATACGGGCTAACTTGATATGGGGACACAAGCTCACCTCCTCAAATTACTAGCAGCCAAGTGCATGCGCCCACACACATATCAAGTTTGGGGACTTTTATCCACTTCGGAAGGAGAGAGTCTTCTCCCGAAGCCGAGGCATGATTGGTAGTTTGTAAACTCAAATGTGTATTGGAATGGTGTTTTTGTCTGTGTGTCCACACACAACACTAAAGGAGATGTTCTTTTCCAATCCCAGACATCATTGGCATTTCCCTGTCTGGTGCATCCTCCCAGCAAAGGAGGCGGTGGAGGACGCTGCTGCTGTGTGTGGAAACATGGAGAAAGTTTGCAGGAAGCAGTTTCCTCCAAGTTCAAATTCTTCCTTGGCAAATCTCTGGAGAAAAAGAGGAGGTGGCAGGGGAGCAGTGCTCCCTGTCCTGCATGAGGGAGGCTGGTCCTTCTCAAAAGGGAATCCCTGTTTCCAATTATGAGTGGGAAGGATGCCAGTTTGTTTGGGCAGCCTTCCCTCATGCTGCTCCCCCACCATCCTTCCCTCCTCTCCAGAGATCTTTCAAGGCAGAAGTTGGACTTGGAGGAAACTGCTTCCTGCAAACTTTCACTGCATCAGCATTATGGTTGCCCTCAAAGTCCCACGTGCTGCTTGAGGTGAGCAGTTGTGAGTGCTCTAGGTATCCACTCTGGAGGCTCAATAGGATGCTGTGAGCCCAGATGTTTTGAGCAAGTTTAGCAACATCACGGCATCTATGGAGAAAAGCCAAGACACAATCCAGCTTTCCCAAATAGGAAAGGCACCATGGGCTCTATCTTTTCCCAACAACTCTCCAACATCCAAGAAGCCTAGTAAGAGTTCAAAATGCCTGAAATATCCATTCAAAATTTAGCTTTTGCAGGCAATACTGGTTAGATCCCTCAGGGGCTCTTTATGGGTCTATCCTTTTGGTGGGTGGGGAAAGAGATCCAAAGCATCCCTCCATTGACTTCCAGAATTTTTTCAAAAAGCCTTGGAGCATGGTGTGCTTTGAGGGGCAAAGGAGCAAGGGGGTGGGGGCTTATGGGAGAGGATGCCCATCAGGTGGTGGGTGGTCATGTGACTAAGCTGAGATGGCTTGTTAGCACCAATTCAGAGAGACAGACAGAGCTGATCATTTCTTGAGCAGCTTTTCTCAAGCTTGGCCACTTTAAGCTTTGTGGACTTCAACCCCCAGAATTCTCCCTACTATGCTGACTAGGAGTTGAAATTAACACAGCTTAAATTTGCCAAGGGAAACGCTAAAGTTACAAAATGAACAGGGAGGGGCTCTGTGTGTGAATCAATTTATCAGGAAAATATCTGGAGATACCTGGCATTTTAACTTTGCCTCCCGGCTGCTCACTCACCTGGCCTCCCAAGGGGGAGGGGGGGAATGGCATTTCTTTTGATGGCTGGCCCTGCAGGAGCAGAGCCCCTTCCCTTGGCCACCATTACATGACACAAGCCTTCTTCCCATTCTTCGCCAGTACAAGAAAGCCTAAGGGGCAAGCGACTCGAAGGCAAAGCGGGCAGCGAATTATCACCCATCCAGCAGAGATGGAAACAGGACCAGCCTGTGCCATACTTGCCACGCTAAAGCAATCCTCCTCAGGCTGAAGCCACGGGGGAGAGAGAAAGGAGTGCGCCCAAAGGCTGGAGAGTTTCAATTAACAAGCACGCAGCAACCTGGAACCACAGCCACGGTTCCAGGTTGCTGCGTGCTTGTTAATTGAAACTCTCCAGTCTTTGGGCGCACTCCTTTCTCTCTCCCCCCGTGGCTTCAGCCTGAGGAGGATTGCTTTAGCGTGGCAAGTATGGCACAGGCTGGTCCCGTTTCCGTCTCTGCTGGATGGGTGATAATTCGCTGCCCGCTTTGCCTTTGAGTCGCTTGCCCCTTAGGCTTTCTTGTACTGGCGAAGAATGGGAAGAAGGCTTGTGTCATGTAATGGTGGCCAAGGGAAGGGGCTCTAGCATTACTGCTATGTGGGTACCCTCAAGAGCAGCAGCAGGCTTGGATGAGCCCCGGCTATGGGGAGAAAATCCTGGGAGAAGCGTGTCCCTCGGAGGAAGAATGGGAAAAAAGCAAAAAGGTGGGGAAGCCCAAGTGCACAGTTTTTTCTCCCACAGTAGCTGTACCTCGCAGTTCTGTGTCTCAAGCTCTCTGGCTGGAGCTGAAGGATGAGGAGCGCAGCCCTGCTCATCAGAGGGTACATTTGCTTTCCTTCCTAAGCTGGAATGGATCATTCAGACTCTCAGGCACGGGGGAGGCGGAGGGGAGGAAACTGCCATCGATGGGGTCGGTTGTACCATCGCCTACCTGGCTGCTTGTATTGCTTCCCTAAAACTACGCCACCACCACTACCGCCAACAATCCTCCTCCTCTTCCTGACCTCGCAACTTGCCAAGAATTCAATCTGGAGTCACTCAGTTGAATCTTCACCTTGGGGTTGATGAGGTGATTTACAATATTGAGAGGCCGGAGCGATCAAGGAGGGGGAGGCAATCATGTCCCAAACAAGGTGGAAGTTTGGCTTGGGGAGGGCTGTCAAAGCCACGAATTAGCCACTCATGTGCACACAAGGCGAGGAGTGGCTGGGAGGGGAGGGGCAGAGCCTGGTGTGGTGAGTTTCAGCCAGCACTCCAAACTGCGCAAAAAATTAGTTACCGGTTCTCCCAAGCCGGTGCAAGCTGGCTGAATCCCATCACTACATCTGCTGCCCAGGACTCTGGAGTGAAAGTACAAAGTGGAAGGCTTGAGACTTTCACTTTGTACTTTCACTCCAGAGTCCTGGGCAGCGGTGGGCAAGCACCCAGTCCAGTCCTCGAGCATCAGGATCCCACAGCCCAGCCTAGCCCAACCCAGGCCTGCTTCCCCAAGGGGGCATCCATTTATCTCAAGACTGTTGCTGGTGCTATCAGGGGGCGAGGCCAGGTGAAGAGGCTGGGTGAAGAGATGACACTGGATGGCACAGAGACCAGGACAGACAGCAAAGACACGAGGCACTGAGCAAAGACAGCAAAGACACTGAGGTGAGAGGCCTGATGAAGAGGCTATGTATGCGCAGGCTAGGCAAAGAGGCTGGGCGGGGCCGAACAAGTCTGCCCAGCAACAGCTGCAGCTTGTTGGCCTCAGCCCGCCCAGCCTCTTTGCCTAGCCTCTTCACCTGGCCTCTCCCTCAGTGCTCAACCTCACCCAATGCTTTGTTTTTGCATGCGCACGCCCACCAAAATGGGGTGGGTTGGGCCGGGCTAAAGCAACACGGGACAGCCCCTTTGATTTTCCAGGACAGCCCTGTGGACCGGATCAGCCCACGGGCCTTGAGTTTGACACCCCTGTTCTAGAGCCTTTTCTTCCTGCCTGATACACCTACACTCCTTCCCTTACACGCTCCCTCTCTCCTCTCTGTTTAGATTTTGACTTCTTCTCATCTCTAAGGGCTGGTGAAAGAGCTGTCTGCTGAAGAAGTTCATCTTCCATCTGTGTATGAATGGTAAGTCCTTCAGCCAGGTGCAGGAATGGAGTTGAAATATTCATGATTTTAGCTCTATTTCTGTACTCTGCCAAAGGAGTTCAGCTCCCCTTGGCAAGTAACTCCTTCAGCCAGCCAGAAAGAGGTTTTCTTTCAGCAGGTGGCAGCAGATCACAACCTTCCCTGTTGGCTTCTCTACTGATTTTTCTGGGTCAACATGACAAAAAATTGGAAATGGCAATTATATGATTGTGGGGAGCATGTCAATCAGTCATGTATGCAAATAGGTTACAAAGCAACCAGATCACAATCATGTGACCATGAGAATGACAATGCAATGTTTTGTAATGACTGAAAGTGCTTTATGGGCCATAAAATACTCTTTTCAATGGTATTGTAAATGTCCATAATTCGGGACAATAGTTAAACGGCTTTAAGTTGACAGCTAACTATTAAGAAGTCAAAAAGTTACTACATATTATTACATCAATCAGCTCTACTTCCATCTTTCTGACAAACCAAATAATAGTAATTATAACTATTGCTTGAATCTCTTCTTAAGAACCAATATATTATATTAAAAAGGGAAAAACAAAGAACCACAAAAATACTGGATTGTAGTATCCATCTCAACATACCTCACCTCTAAATCCATATGTAGAAATACTAGTTAAATCATCGAAAGTTTGCAGTTTACTTGTAGTGAATCTTTCACACACAATATCCAAGTCTTCCTTCTATAGAAGAAAACCACAAATCAGTGTTTTTTAAAACTATCTTCTTTATATAAAGTCTGATACCTAAACAATCAAGTACTCTACTCACCCTAATTCCAGAACCATTATCTTGTACCTGAATAAGTTTCAAACCACCATCTTTAATTGTCAGCTGGATGTTGGTGGCTTTAGCATCTAAACTAAAAAAACAACAATATATTATAATGAGACACTGCCAAATGACATTCTACATGAATGTTTAGAATAGGTGCATGAAAATTCTAAATAGGCAACAATCTATTCTCATTATACAGATTATACAGATAAGAGGTAGTCCTTGGATAATGACAGAAATTGGGACCAGGAACTCTGTCATTAAGTGACATGTCATACATGTCAAACTGGGGTGTCAAACTGGCGGCCCACAGGCTGGATGCATTATGTGCAGGCCATGCCCATCCCAGCTCCGCAAAGGAATATCGCAAAACATCACATGACGGCAACTTGACATCACGAGTTTGACACCTGTGTCTTAAAGTATAACATTATGTGACTATATCACATAGCCATAGCTGTTCCAGCAGTCCTAGTTGCCATCAGTAAACAAGGACCACATGGGATTTTAAGTGAGGACGTCACATAATTGTGACTTCCAACTTCCGACAGCTTCTTCAGTGACTTGGCTCAGAAAAAAAAAAATCAGAAATCACATCATGTGATCACAGCTTGTTATTATGTTATAATTGTGAGGCAGATGCTGAGTGTCTGGATCATGGTATGTTACCACACAGAGATTTCCAGCTTGATCTCCAAGGAGACACTGATCTCCAAGGAGACAGCTTGATCTCCAAGGAGACATTCAAAAACTTCAACTGATGCAAAATGCAGTTACATGGACATTCTAGCTACTTTACACATGTAACACCATTACTATATGAACTACACTAGTGGCTGGTTGTTTTTAGGTACAATTCAAGGTGCTAGTTATCAGCTTTAAAGCCCTACATGGTTTTGGTCTGGGTTACCTGAGGGACTTTCGTTTTCCAAGAATCTCTACCAGCACAATTCGATTCAACAGACTGGGCATGCTGCAGATCTCATCAGCCAATGAGTGCTGACTGGCAGGAACTCCGTTATAGACTCTGTCTTGTGGAATACTCTCCCCATGGAAATTAGAATGGACCCAATCCTGTTGGCCTTTTGCAAGGCTTAAAAACTTGGTCATGTATCCAAGTCTAAAGCTCTGAATGTGTTAATCACACTGTCTCTTGGTTTTACTATGGTTAATTATCCTGGCTGTTGTATATATTTTCTGGTTGTTTTAATTGTTTGATTTTTAATTTGATTGTTCTATAATTTTAGAATTGTAAGGAACCTAAAGACACTTGGTTGAGTTGGACAGCTATAGATAAGGATGGAAGGAGAGAGGGAGGGAGGGACGAAGTAAGTAAGTAAGTAAGGAAGTAAATTAGTTCATTTTATTTACTGCCATCATAACTCTGTGCTTGTAGTGGAATGTATTCTAGATTCCCAAGAGGGAGGAGCTGCATCCCAGAGAGCAAAGAGGCAGTGGAGCTTGGAATATTTGGTCAGCAAGAAGATGATTAAAACTGTTTCTCCATAGCAATTACTAGAAAATCTCTGAAATTCTGCAAATGCTTGCTTTAGTCTAGTAAGAGTCTGTCTACAGATAAGATACAATAAAGAAAACTACTCAGATGTAACTCCACATGTCGTTCTTAGGGCCTGCCTGTATCAGACTCAAGACCAAGTCTGACATGAGATCCAATCAAGTCCAGTTCTTTATTTGGTTATACCTAATAGAATCTCATCAGACAAAAGTTTCTAACCCAATAGATACAGTCAGGTCCAGAAATATTGGGACATCGACACAATTCTAACATCTTTGGCTCTATACACCACCACAATGGAGTTGGAATGAAACAAACACAATGTGCCTTAACTGCAGACTATCAGCTTTAATTTGAGGGTATGTACATCCAACTCAGGTGAATGGTGTAGGACTTACAGCAGTTTGTATATGTGCCTCCCACTTTTTAAGGGACCAAAAGTAATGGGACAATTGGCTTCTCAGCTGTTCCATGGCCAGGTGTGTGATATTCCCTCATTACCCCAATTACAATATGCAGATAAAAGGCCCAGAGTTCATTTCAAGTGTGCTATTTGCATTCGGAATCTGTTGCTGTCAACTCTCAAGATGAGATCCAAAGAGCTGTCATTATCAGTGAAGCAAGCCATCATTAGGCTGAAGAAACAAAACAAACCCATCAGAGAGATAGCAAGAACATTAGGCGTGGCCAAAACAACTGTTTGAAACATTCTCAAAAAGAAGGAATGCACTGGTGAGCTCAGCAACACCAAAAGACCCGGGAGACCATGGAAAACAAGTGTGGTGGATGACCAAAGAATTCTTTCCCTGGTGAAGAAAACACCCTTCACAACAGTTGGCCAGATCAAGAACACTCTCCAGGAGGTAGGTGTATGTGTGTCAAAGTCAACAATCAAGAGAAGACTTCACCAGAGTGAATACAGAGGGTTCACCACAAGATGTAAACCATTGGTGAGCCTCAAAAACAGGAAGGCCAGATTAGAGTTTGCCAAACAACATCTAACAAAGCCTTTACAGTTCTGGAACAAGATCCTATGGACAGATGAGACCAAGATCAACTTGTACCAGAGTGATGGGAAGAGTATGGAGAAGGAAAGGAACTGCTCATGATCCTAAGCATACCACCTCATCAGTGAAGCATGATGGTGGTAGTGTCATGGCGTGGGCATGTATGGCTGCCAATGGAACTGGTTCTCTTGTATTTATTGATGATGTGACTGCTGACAAAAGCAGCAGGATGAATTCTGAAGTGTTTCGGGCAATATTATCTGCTCACATTCAGCCAAATGCTGCAGAACTCATTGGACAGCGCTTCACAGTGCAGATGGACAATGACCCAAAGCATACTGCAAAAGCAACCAAAGAGTTTTTGAATGAATAGAAGTGGAATGTTATGCAATGGCCAAGTCAATCACCTGACCTGAATCCCATTGAGCATGCATTTCACTTGCTGAAGACAAAACTGAAGGGAAAATGCCCCAAGAACAAGCAGGAACTGAAGACAGTTGCAGTAGAGGCCTGGCAGAGCATCACCAGGGATGAAACCCAGCGTCTGGTGATGTCTATGTGTTCCAGACTTCAGGCTGTGATTGACTGCAAAGGATTTGCAACCAAGTATTAAGAAGGGAAAGTTTGATTTATGATTATTATTCTGTCCCATTACTTTTGGTCCCTTAACAAGTGGGAGGCACATATGCAAACTGCTGTAAGTCCTACACCGTTCACCTGAGTTGGATGTACATACCCTTATATTAAAGCTGACAGTCTGCAGTTAAAGCACATTGTGTTTGTTTCATTCCAACTCCATTGTGGTGGTGTATAGAGCCAAAGATGTTAGAATTGTGTCGATGTCCCAATATTTCTGGACCTGACTGTATATCCTGGGAAATTCCTTCCCCTATCCCCGTGATGGTGAACCTATAGCACGCGTGCCGGAAGTGGCACGATGAGTCATTTCTCCGGGCACACGGAGCTGTCCCCCGTTGCTCTTCTGGGTTCCGGTGCACCAGCCAGCTGGGTTTCAAGAGCACCGGCAGGCCAGAAACCGGAAGAGCAGCCACCCATTGCGCATGCACACTCCAGGAAGATGATTTCCTGTTTCCAGAGTACGCATTCTTGCACAGCCCCAGGCGGTCTGGATCAGCAGCCGGTGAGGGTGGGGTGGTGGGCTGCCTGCACAGATGACCCCGTGGGCTGGTCTCCTCCCTGCTGGGAGCCGCCCTTCCCAGGCTAGTGGCAGCGCTCTCAGCACTGCCATGCGCCCGCCGGGGAAGCTCCGAACGCGTGGCTTGCCTGGGCTCTTTCCTGCTGGGAGCCACTGTTCCCTGGCTGGTGGCCGTGCTTAGTCCCACCGGAGAAGCTCTGAATGCATGGCTTGCCTGGGCTCCTACCCACTGGGAGCTGCAGGCCGAGCAGGTGGGGACGGGGACTGGCTGCACCCACCGCCACCTAAGTGGAAAACCCAAAGAGGGGCATCCCGGATGTGCAGACACCTGCCTGCCACCACTGCCACTGCGCCTTGCCTGTTTCCCCAGCTCCTCTTCTCTAAGTGAGTGCTCAGCAGCCGGGAAAACCAGGAGCCGCCACTTTTGCCCTGCTCGGCCCCACAGTTCTGCTCAGCTCAAGTTCATGGAAATCATGTGGTGGCCCTTGAGCTTTAGGAGGGAACTGGCTCCGAGACCGGGAGGCAGCCTTTGGTGAGCCAGCCCGATGGGGAACTGAAAAGAGTGGGGCTTTTCCCTTCTTACGACACGCTTGTGGGCTTTGGGGTGGCTCCAGAGCCGGAATTCGCTTGGCTGATGATCGGGCAACTCCAAAGCTTCCTGCTAAACGTGTTCGTTCTCTTGCCTGTCTTCTTTCCCTATTTAAAAGGGCTGCACTTGTAGGGGGGAGAGATCTGACTAAAGAGCTGTACTTGCAGAGAACAGGAGGTGGAAACAGGGAAAAAAATCCTCCTCCCCACTGGGAGCTTGGCTGATGATCGGGCAACTCCAAAGTTTCCTGCTAAACATGATTGTTCTCTTGCCTGTCTTCTTTCCCCATCTCAAAGAGCCGTGCTTGTAGAGGGGAGAGATCTGACTAAAGAGCTGTACTTGCAGAGAACAGGAGGTGGAAACAGGGAAAAAAATCCTCCTCCCCACTGGGAGCTTGGCTGATGATCGGGCAACTCCAAAGTTTCCTGCTAAACGTGTTCATTCTCTTGCCTATCTTCTTTCCCCGTTTAAAAGAGCCATGCTTGTAGGGGGCAGAGATCTGACTAAAGAGCTGTGCTTGCGGAGAACAGGAGGCAGGAGAGAACTTTTAAGTAGAATTATGTTTGCTAAAAATTGCACAAAAGGAGGAAATACCTAAACAAGATGAAGTTATTAGGAAAATTATGGAATGTGCTGAAATGAGCAAATTGACATTTGAAATTAGAGAACAGGAAGATAAACAATAGTATAAGATATGGGATTTGTTTTATCAATGGCTAGATAATAAAACATGGACATGAAATATGAAATAGATGTTATAATACAATTTATGGAAATGATTTTAATGGGATGAAAATGCAATTGTTAAATGAATGATAAATGAGAATAAAGATATAAAGATATATGTTAGATTGATATAAGAAATTAGAGAATTTGTAATGATGAATCTGAGATGAAGCACAAAAGATTTGTAACCAACCGACACACTATTTGTAATTGGAATGGATGATGGATGTTTTTATGTTTTGTTTAAAAATAAAAAACTTTTTTCAAAAAAAAAAAAAGAAGGGAAAAGCCCCTCTCTTTTCAGTTCCCCATCGGGATGGCTCCACCAAAGGCTGCCTCCTGGTTTCGGAACCAGTTCCCTCCTAAAGTTTCAAGGGCCGCCACATGATTTCCATGAACTTGAGTTGAGCAGAACTGCGGGGCCGAGCAGGGCGAAAGTGGCCACTCCTGGTTTTCCAAGCTGCTGAGCGCTCACTTAGAGAAGAGGAGCCGGGGAAACAGGCAAGGCGCAGCGGCAGTGGCGGCAGGCAGGTATCGGGGAAGCGCCAAGGGCAGCATACGCATCTGGGATGCCCCTTTGGGCTTTCCACTTATGCGGCAACAGGTGCAGCCAGTCCCCGTCCCCACCTGCTCAGCCTGCAGCTCCCAGTAGGAAGGAGCCCAGGCAAGCCGCGCGTTCGGCCCCACCATCTTGGCAGCGCCATGCGCTGGGCGGGGAACAACTGTCTCGCCAGGGAACGGGCCGGTACCTAGTTGTCCTCTGATAAGAGGCATGCCAGCCCACTTGGAAAGTGGGTGGGGGGCGCATTCAGGGGGGACACATGCGCAGTGCAGGGTGCGCGCATGCATAGTGCAGGCACATGTGTAGAGGGAGCATGGGAGGTATCGTGCATGCATGCGTAAATGGGGGCGCACATTGCATTATGGGTTCCAGCACGCGGGAGCGCAGGAGCATTCGCATGCTCAGACTTTTGGCATGCAATGCCAAAAAGGTTCGCCATCACTGCCCTAACCAGTTGCTTGTTTTAGGCCTCTCACTGGAATGTGCCGCATGAAGTCACAATGCTATTGCCACCATTCCTCCATCCCCTCTACTCTTTTCCAGTTGCACATTCCATCACATTCTGAATGGTTGTGAATACCTGCATGACCTTTTTTTCCCTTTTCAGTAATGTAAAGCTATACACATGCATTTATAAATTTATTTTAAATGAAACCTTAATACTTACTGACCACTGACAGGAGTTAACAACTTATAAAAGTATAAAGGAAATTAGAGCTGACCTTGGGCAAGGTATAGGACAGCAACTAAGGGGTGAAGGAAGGAGCTTTATTTACTTACTTACATCTTGCCTTTATTATTTTTACAAATAATTCAAGGCAGAGAACATATTCAACAAATGTTCCTTCTATTTTCATCACAAAGTGAGGTGGGTTGACCTGTTGCTAAGAAGGGACCTGGAAAAATAACACAGTTCAGAAATAGAAAAAAAAGGAGAAACTCAAAATAATTCCACCTTAATTTTATTCATCATAATATGGGACAGAAAGAAACTTGAATAGGTTTCTAGTTTGTTAAAATACTCTACAATAAAATAACATTCCTGGAATTTGTTTCTTTTTTGACCTGCCCTACCTTGAAGGCCTGACATGAATCTTGAAAGCCTGTTCTAATTTTTCTGTCCCAACAAATTCAAGGTGGGGTTATTTTGAGTTTCTTTCATATACTACCAGCTAACTTTAGATTGCATAATCTCTTCTCCAAACCTCTCCTCAGTAATTC